TTGGACTTCAATTATACATAATATGATAAATGAAATAAATCGAGTTACTTACAGAATATTATTGTGATACAGAAGTGGTTTATATAAAGGATTGCATTATTTTAATAAATCTATTTTCGAGTCCAACCTTAATAGATAAGTGATAAGTAAATACAAAAAAATTTAATCGGCCTATTCTACCTTATTCAGAGTTACCCAAACGGCATCATTGGACCATTGGACTTAAGAAATTAGATTTTTTGACTTATAAAAGTTACAACTTTGACAATATTCACAAATTAAATTTTGTATTTACCGATATCAAACCATTATCATAAACAAGTTTAATTAGTAATTTTTAAAAAAAAAATTATCTCTAAAACTAATAATTTTCATAGGACTGTTAGGACCATTTGGAACCGATTAAAAACCCTAGTGAATTGTTTTCAGCACTGAGATAACATTTAAATATTTTAATTTTTCTTTCCAAATCAATGTTTACATATTTCTTGGCTTACAATACGAATTACACGAGAAGCTAAATATGGAAGAATTATCATGTAGGAAATTTAAAGTAAAAATTGCGGAATTAAAGGAGTTAATGTTACTACGGTAACAGTAAATAATTAGAAGTGATAAAGAAATAGCGATAGAAAGGAAAATAACAATGCGTTTCTAAAAAAGATCTAGTAACAGTAATAATCGAATACGTATTCTGGTTTTTAGTTATTCCATAATATTTAGATAGGCATTGGTGCACTTTAGAGCAGTCTGAATCTAGTTTTGAAAAAGTCAATTAGATTGAAAATCAAAAAAGCGATATGCTTACACTTAAAAGGTTTTCATTTTACCTGTTTGTAAACTCGGATGTAATTTGCTTTGAATTGTGTAATGATTTCAACACAACTTGACATTCTCTCTGTCGTTCAAATTTATTTTCTTTATGATCCCAATATCTGTTTATTGGTCCGTACAACCAGGAAGATTTATAAATTGATCCAAAATCATTTTTTGCAAGATATTCAACATTAAATCTTTCAAAAGAGATCCATTAAATACATTATTGTTATTAATATTATTGCATTCATTTATTAGACTGTCAATATCTTTATTTATTTTCGTTTGTGATATCGAAAACATCCCTCACAGTGATCATTTTCTTGACATTTGATACATTTACTACAATCATGAGTATTGTGAACTGAAAATGCATCGCAGTACTTATATTGTAACAGTTCTTACTACAATCATGAATATTGTGAACTGAAACACGCTTTGCAGTAGTAATTGTTTCGACAATAATAACATTTACTAAAATTATGCAATCTTTGAGTTTCTTAGTGATGATGGCAGTGATTTATGTAAAAAAACGAAGATTTATATGTGATAGAGTGGAAGTCGTCATTGTTCACATGTGTTTGTCAAACGATTTATGCATGAAAAATGATACGTACGCCCACGAAGTGTATGAAATGAAAACAGGAATTAAGTAAGTTTACAGCAATTCCTTCGGTAAAACTAACACTTTAGAATCAATCACTACTAGAGAATATGTTAATTGGTTCATAACGATATGAATGGTTGATGATAATGAAATTCGTATACTTGATTGGCCTGCCCAATCACCCCGATCTTAACCCAATCGAGCATCTTTGGAACGAAATACGTAGACCAGCGTTTGAGGAGATCATCCATTGCCATTCATACTCAAGATCAACTCTGGGATTCGATACAAAAAGTGTGGATTGGAATGGATAATGCATTTTTAACAAATCTAATTGAATGTATGGAGGAGCGTATCCAAAATGTAATCAATGCAAATGGTGGATACACTAGATGGTAAAGAATATTTAGTTAAAATTTGGTGGATTTTAATTTGCTATTTGGTTAGAAATTTCAATTTGAATTTTTGTAATTAAAACGGATCACTTAATTTGATGTGAAAATGGATTATTTTTATTTTTTAAGTTACGGATGAAAAATAAAGTAAATGTAATAATTCTTTTATATTTGGTGACTAAAATAAGTCTTGTTTAACGTTGTGTACGAGACGTTATTGCTTCGCAAAATTTATCTTTCAAGTGATGCATTACTTTAGTACGTATACACACACATCCTCCAACACACATATAATAATACATATCCTCTGAGAATAAAAAATATATATCATCATATATGTGCGGAATGCGTATTACTATATGAGTGCCAGAAAATGTATGTATTGCTAGAAGAAAGATTTGGATTTGAATGAAAACGCTAATGCTAAAAATGCTATATATATATATATATAATTTATTATAATATACAATTATATCATGCTACGTGCATGTTGAATTCCCAATTTCACTTTTGAATTCACTTTTATTTGTTCACCCATTTTTCACTTTTAACTTTGCCTTTTCTCTCCTAATTTTTCGCTTTCGCTTTCACTTTCGAATTTATTTTTGTTTGTTCACCCTAATTAAGATGAGATGGTATGGAGATACACATTTATAAATCAGTTACCATAGAAATGTTTAACCAATTAAACTGTTCAACAGACCTCAAAGACTCATAGGCTGATCGAAAGATCTCGGAATATGCGTCCCAAAGATGAGAAAAAGGCATTGAAGAAAATAGTTAGTATTGTACAGTCGCCACAGAAAGTAACGCCCGATTTGGATGTGCAACATAAATTTGAATGTGGCGTTTTCACTAATTTTTTTAATTCCTTTCTTCGACTTTTAAACATACACTGGGTGAAATTTATTAGCTGTAAATATAACATACACCGACTCCAGTTGACTGACTTGACTGACAAGGGTAAAATGGGTAATTTTTATTTGGGTTTTGAGTGCCGTGCAAGTTGCAAGAAAAATGATCCGTGACTCGATAACTGGATAATGGTCTCTTGCCGAATACAAGAAAAATAGTAAAAAAAATTTACCAGGGTCTGGAAGGTCACAAGCTCTTAACAAGCAAGAAAAAATGCACATTTACAAGAGGCCAAAAAAGAAAACCTAAGCCATTTCGTGACATTTTCAACAAAAAATCTTTGTGAAATTTACCCGAAGATTCTTTAAGGTAATTATATCCTTTTTCATAATATATTATGCTCAGTAATTTGAAGAATATGACGTTTCAGCTTAACTCTAACTCTAACCCTAATTCTAAAAAGATTACGAAATAGGAATATTAATGATTATGAACCAATAAACGTATTCTTCCAGACCTGACTTCATAGAAAACATCTAGAAACCATTGTAAAACAATATTGTAAAGTGTAAAAGCTTTTCAAAAATTGTGAACATGTACTGAAGAAAACGTAGTCAAAATTTAATGTGTTAGTTTGGGGTAGGATGTGAGCTCATGCCGTAAGGAATCGAGGTGATATTGGAGCTATATAGAGGGTAAAAAAATTTTTATGTATATAAAAATGAAATAAATCGAAAATTTTATTTTTTAAAAAAATTGGGCGATACTTTCCGAGGCGACTGTACATAATCGGATGTTGGCAACAATAATAAATATGGCGGTGTGGAGTTGGTCGATCGATTATGGTGTATTCGTAATATTATCATCATTTTTCGTTGATATTCATTTATATTTTCAATCTAGTGTGATAGTTGCACCTAACTTAGAATATTTGAGGATACATAATCCACGTTATAATTTAATTTTGTTAGTAATGATCTTTTATTCATACAAAAGTGACAGGGCTGCAGAACTAGTTGGACGTTTGGCGAATGTCAGTGATAGGCTTCGATGATATATAGCACCAACCTGACAAAGTACGTGTACAGATATTGTGCCGAAATCAGTGATTAGTTGATCAATATCGATATCGATATGGTACAAATTTTGAATTTTAATCTCAAGTCCAAAAATGATCTTTATTCTGAATTATTCTCTTCCCATAACTATAAATATTTCAAACTCGTTGCTTTTGATGACATAAAATGAGTTTTGTATACATATATCGATATTTTGGTTAAAATATTTTGTGAGAATTAGTTTAGTTTTTTATGATATTTTGATATATTCAAAATGAGCATATTATTTTTATTATATAACGATAATATTGTGTATGCTTTCCATTAATACTTCTGGACTCATATAAGAAAGTATTCCGCAAATCTTTTGATCAGATTTTTTATAACCTGCTGATTTGGTAAGTCCAAACTCAACAATTTGAGCAGTTTTAAGCCGCATTAAACCGCTACCAACAATTTGTTTTCCGTGCGACATTAAGCGACCAATCTTTTCTCCCTGGTAAAACAGCGGAATATTTTCCGGTAATTTTTTCAGGAGTAAATAATAATGAACTCCTTTTTTGGTTTCCACATGGAAAAAGTTGAAACCAACAATAAAAGAGGTCTAACAATTATTCTTCCCCTAATGCCTCACTTCTGAAAATCTTTTTTTTGGTATACCCTCACTTACTCCAAAAAAACTCTTTTTTCTAATATATTTCTGGTGTGACAATCATGATGCACAAATTCCGCATTGTGAATTTATTCAACCCTCGAGTAATTAATAAATCTCTGTTCGGGTCGGGTTTGAGGTCAACCCGAACCGGTTCGGGCCGGGTTTGATCAGAAAATTGTAAAATAGTTTTTTATTTTTACTAATACACTTGTATTTTGTGTCTTGGTACAGTTGTTCGAATGTAATTGTATCTACATCCACAAATTCTCATTTAATATGTACTAGAAATAACGACTTTTAGGCTGACCCGAAATATTTCGGGTCGGGCACGGATTGAACCCGATGGAGCATTAATTAAAGTAAAGCGTATATATTTTTGGACCATTGTGGATGAACGAAACCCTATTGGACGAAATTATTAATATAACAGATTCGGGACCAATGTTTACATCTCACTATAATCGCACAGCATTACTGGGTCCTGATAAGTGTGCTTATAAAGTTGCATCATCCAAAAGAGTAATTAATCGTACAAAAATTAAGGGAGCATCACACAAGCAAAATCCAACCATAAGAGGCGAAGATTGAAGAGATGATTGATGAAAAAATAGTCATTAAACGCATAATGGTTCGTTTGGAGACTTTTGCATGGCATTTCCATTTCCGTTGTGGTTTCCGTTATCTCCTGTTGCTTGTGATGACAAAATAATATAATATATAGGCATAAGTTCCATGATGGAACAAAACCAATTATTGCAATTCCCCTTGTTGTTCCCATTATTATCGCTGTTGTTTCCGTTGCCGTTATTGTGAACATTGTTCTATCCAAAAATTAGTTGATAAAAATCCGTTAGAATTTTTGATTTTTAATAACATTTACACCATTATTTCCTATGTTTGTTATACACTGACCTACAATAAATCCTGCATTTAGATTATTCCCAAATTTAGTCATACTTTACTTTTTTTTTTGTCTCGATTATGCCATTGTCCTTGTCTTTATTTGCATATAAAATACATTCTTCTTTCTATTCATAATGTCTTTATCACAAAAAGAATTGCCGTCAGAACTTCGTGAGCAAATAATCGGTGCATATCATGTAAGAGCAATGCTTCAATCATAGCAAACATAACATCTAAAGTCATCAAACGTTTGTATTTTACAAAATGTATAAACATCTTTACAAAGAACTAAATGCAAAATTTAATCCGTGAATACGATAGAATAGGCCATTTCTGAGCATATTCACGGATTAAATTTTATATTTACTTCTTAGTAAAGATGTTTATACATTTTATAAAACATAAACGTATGATGACTTTAGATGTTATGCACCATATCAATGCTAAAGGATCACATACACAATATTAGATTTTTAATATTTTTAGATACATATTATTCTATAGCTATTTTCTTTCTAACTATATAAATTTTCAATGATAATATTTAGTAAAATATAAATTTAAATAAAAAATATATATAGATACATTTAAAATCAAAAATTTGTTAATGCACGGTGACTGATCAGAGATGAGGATTTTGTGTTGCTGTAATATCAAAGTCTTAAAAATTAACCTTCTTAATAAAGTGCCGAAACTAATTCAGATTTATTTAAGCTTATTTTAATAGTATCCGAAATGATATTCAAGTTTATTTGAAAATAAACACATTTAGATATTCTCGTTATAAATTCAAGATTATTTGAATTGCTTGCTGAATTTGCTTTTTTCAAAAAAATAATTTCTACAGCATCTATAGGCTGCAATGGAACTTTTTTGGTAAAAAAAATAGTTTTTTATTAAGACAAACCTCTTATAAATATTGATTTTAGCACTTTTTCTCAGCACTCATCAGATATTACCGTTATGTTAACAATTATATTATTATTTCTCTTCGTAAAATGAATAGAAGTATTTATATTTTAAATTATCTAAGTGCTCTAATTTAAATTTATCTTAGTCTATTTTAAATTTACCTATATGCACTATTTTAAATTTATCTAAGTGCTCTATTGAATAGTAAAAAATAGCGAGAGTCAAAAAAATTTATTTAAGAGATTGCAATAATAGAGGCACTATTACTATTATACGAAAAACCTTCCTCAAAATTTTTTTCATATTGGAACAGTGTTCCCAGTATGAGGCGGTGTAACCGTAGCATGTAAAAGCATGTCCCTATAATTTGGGCTCTTTGCTGCACTTCGTTATAAGTCTGCATGACTTCGAGATCATGCTCATCGTTAAGACCAGCACGTTAGTAATAAGCGTGATCAAGGGGATTATCGTGTACGCAATCGTAGATCGCTTGTACATTACCTATGTGCAATATAAAGCGCAAATTAAAATTTGTTCACTGCATCATGGAAAACCAAAACTATGCATACCTGAGTGACGAATTGCGGTGCATCCTCAATAAAGAATGAGATGCAAGTCCCGATTAAGACCCAAAAATGAACAAAATCCGAAACAGGAGCGTCAAACATAGGAAGTCCAATAATTCGTGAAGACAAAATTGAAAGCATCTCTATATCAGCAGTAGCAAGTAGAGTAAAACTGGCTGCAAGCTGTGTAAATTGACTTAACCACTTATGGAATGGTGCATTCTGACCGCGCTCACGGATTATTATAAAGACAGCAAGAAAGATGTTTAACACAAGAGGAACCACGAAAAATACAAATTGGTTGAAACGTTAGTTTTCAAAATAATCCACTGAAAACTTAAATTATGAACCTTTACCTGTGTATATAAAGTCGACGAATATTATTAGCGTTATTTATAACGAAGGTCAAATCCATTACCAAGTCGAGAATGTATAACACGAGTTACACAATTTCAAAATTTTTTCCCTACAAATGATGTCTTAATTATAATATACAACATATGCGAAAGAAACGAGACACTTCACATACTTCAGGAATTTACGATATGCAAAAAAGATAAGCACTCTCAGAACACAGATCAAAATCGCGGCGAATTTCAGTTGATCCCATATATTGACTATAAAATAGAGGATGATCTAAGTAGGTGCCAATTAAATACATTTTAATTGGAAGAAAGAGATACATACCAATTATTTGGAAACCATATTGATTTTATTTAATGCCGTGGCATTCATTTTCGAAACTGCAGTCTCTAAAAGTAATCAGCGTATTGAGACTCCGTGCAATGGATGCCGAATTCATGTATGCACTTTCGCTAGAGGCCTCAATGCGAAAAAGCAAAAAGAGATTAGAATCTGTGATAGCTTCTCTGTTTGGAACAAAACGCGATGAATTAACTGGTACGATACTCGCCAATTGATTGCGTAATTTCTCAACAAATCGTGTTTGATTCTCTGGATAATCCCTTATAGTAAGTTGCGCCTGTTAAGCTCAACCGAATAGCGCCAGTTACCGTATCTAACGTTTCAGATAGAATCCATTGACATTGAGAAATATTTAAGCAAATAGGTGCAATAGTTCTGAAATTAACTACCTGAATAAATATACAATAAAAAGATGAAGATGTTAGTCTGAGTTCTTTTGGAAATACAACATAAACTGAAAACTAACCTAAAGTAAAATGCCAAATTCGACTCTCTATACCATAAAGCGGCTTCTTGTTCAAATCACAAACAAGATTATTGTAAAACAAGAACATAATAAGTTGCTCCTGGTTGATAAATGTGGTCTCTTATAGCCTAATTTTTACTGTTGAATTGCCTTCAATTTTTACATGATCATATATTTGTCCAGAAACTATCTGTCGCAAGGTCGGTGGATTCGACGTGCCTTCCAGAGGAACTTGAAATATGGACACATTTCTGATTGATAATTCGATCGGTTCAACATAATTTTATCATTAATGTATCAATGTCGAAAGCAATCGTATCACCAATTGTTGCTGGTTTGGTTGATTTGTTGTCTATATGTAAAAAAAAAAGAAAATCACAAAGCACAGCATATCGATATATGAACTGCTATTAGTAATATATATAAATCATTGAGCAAATAAACTCACCATCAATGAATTTGGTAAAGTAAATCTCTAGTCACAATACTCCAGGAACCTCGGATACTTGATATTACGGTCCACAAAGTATTGTTTGATAGTAGATCCATAGGTAATTGAGACCCAGACAAGATATAATCTGATGGTAGTTCAAAAGTATTATAATACTTTCCGTTGTTGTCAAAAATATGTGCGAATCGCTGAGTACGACTGGAGTTTCTAAGAAAAGTAAAGAGAAAACCGTCGAAGTGCAGTGACCGTACTTCCATGACTGTTCGAATTTGTATGTTTTCTGATATCTCCAAATCTATGACACCACCGCCGCTCAGAAAACAGACGACTACGTATTTGGTCTTTTGTGAAAGTTTTCCACCGGTTACTTCGCCAGAATACATTCATAACCAACGTAGTCAGCAGCACCGAAGAATTCTTCAATTGTTATGCGAGTAAGCGAGAATTTTGGTCGATAAATTAAAAAAGGTTCTGTTCTATTCTATTTTCCTGGACGAAAAAAGATCACACGGGCTTCGAAATCGGAAGTTTCTTTGTAATCGATTACCTTCGAATCTGCTGAATTGTATGGGTGAACAATATATACACTCATGTATCCGCCATCCTCTATATTAAACACATAAGTAGCACCAAGGGTTTGATCATTTATGTCTATGTTTGTTTTCCCTGAGCTTACTGTGTGAATAATTCCTTCCGAGTCCCTAACTGAATATATATGTTTGACTCGAGGGATAGAATAAACGCATCGAAAAAGTAAGTACTTACAGTGAACTCAACTGATCCCAATTAAAGCCGAATTTAGAAAAGCCAGAGACTGCTAGGAAACCTTCGTCTTCATATACGCTTGGTATTATTCCTACACTATACAAAAATTACCAAGTATATTTCCTATGGAAGTTGATGAACAAAACTTGGTTACGATATGATTCAAAAATTCAAATATAAAATACACGATATTCTCACAATTAATTAAAGTACTTTTTCATCTCTCCAGAACGGTTTATGAATGCACCATAAAGGTTACATGAGGAAGATTCAGTAGTATTGGAGGAAATATCGCAGTTTTGAGCATATAGGCAAAATATAAAATCGTTTATGGTTGTTAAAGTGTAATATTCGTGCGGCACATCAAAGTTAACTCTCCGTTCAACACATGACCGTTTGGGTCAATTAAACAAAAGTCCAAGGTGGTGGTGCCATTATAATTACAAAGAGAATAAGTAGTATGGTCCTGAAGGGGGCAAAGATACAGTAAAATGGTTCCATCATCAAAAGTCAAGCCTTTCGATATTATCAGTGTATTGTTTTTCTCGGTATAAGTAATATTAACTGCTTTAACGATAGAAAGAATAGCGACCAGGTAAAAATATAAAAACAAGAAGTTTATCCTCATTTTTTGTTGGTAATGTTAAGTGATTCAGAAATGATAGGATAGCTTCTCGTTGAAAGGTAATAAAAGTGTATGAGACGGCGGCATGGTAAAAGAACCGATAATTGAGCCTCATACAAATAAAGGAACAAAGACAATTTCGGGCCTCCTCTTAATGCGGAATTTATTGAATGGATCGATTACACGAATCTTAGGAAATGATATTTAAAATCACAAAAGTCTGGTCAAACAAAGACACTAAACTATCACTTCATTGACGATATTTTTCTAGTTGCATAATCAAGAAAAGAATATGTTTTCCCAGCTGTATAAATAAAAGTTTTACGGTTAATATATGCACAACATTTTAACTTAACCGAATTGTGAACCACTAGTTATATCGTATATGCTCACTACGCAAAACCAAAGACTATGTTTTATACAGTGCGCGTGCCGTAAAGAATGAATAGTTGTATAATGTTAAAACTTGTTAGAAGCTTACAAAGCTTTATAATTACATTCTTTAAATGTGCTTAAAAAGTTGCTTATTACCATTTTATATAATATTATAAGAAAATTTTTGCTTTTTACTAGTATTTTACTTTGACAATTTTAGTATTTTGCTAATTTTGTATAGTGTTTTAATAACATAATCTATTAATTCTAACCAAACTTTTTTCTTTAAAGCTTAAAGAAAGAATCTACTTGTTAAAACCCAGTAAAATAAAATAAAATAAAATAAAATATTCTCATTATTTATTTTTATGGTGCGCATGTAAATAGAAATTTTTTCAAAAATTCTGTTCTACATTTCTTAATTTGGAATACATGTACAAGTACGTACGTACATGTTTCAGAATTTTTTGGCGTTACAGATTAAAATCAATAACAATACATGTGCATTATTACAAACGCAAAGAACATGTACATGTATTGTTGCAATACCAATTACTGTATAGAACATTATTATTTACGGTATACTCTTTTTAGACACCAAATGTCTATTTAAGGCAAGAAACCAATGTGTAAACTAAGTTCAACCAAAGGATCATTAAAGAACTCGCCATGTCTACATGGGGGTCTTGATCGGATGCAGGATTGAATTCGGCGTTTTGATGACGATGAATTGTATTAGACAGAAAAAATGATCGGATTGTGTTAATTGGGTGACGATTTGGTGATGATGTTGTTATTATTGCGATTGTAAAATATTGTGATTTTTGAACGGTTGTATGATTAAAATTAGAAAATGAATTTTTAATTACTAAGAATCAATTCAATTTATTTTAGTTTGACACATGGCTTAAAAGAAAAAGCCTTGCACATTTCTCCAAGATTTAACCTATTTGTTCATACAAAGGGAGACAACGACATTTCCTATGATTCCTCAGAATAGATCTGTCGTTTAGCACACTGTATATAGTATCTCCCAATAATACCCACATGACTCAGACCTGGATACTTTTCATTATCTAGATTTGAATACTACCCGGATATATGCATATTTAAAAAATAATGTGCTACATTAGCAAACCATCATCAACTTCGTGATATCAATATCGTCAAACATTATAAAGAATATTTAGTTCCAAATATTAACATAATTCCAAATTGCGTAATGGAATGTTACTTTAAAAAATCAACAATAAAAATTGATTCCATTTATCACTATCCCCTATCAAAGCAAATTGAAATGCAGCTAACTCGTTATGGAGACAAAATATCTGCAATGCCAAGGAAATTTTGCGATGAATTGGCATTTTTTTATTATCATGTGAGTGATATGTCAGTTCAATGGAAAAACTGGCAAAATTTCAGTTGGTTCTCATTCTGGTTATCCAAGAAAACTGATCCCTCAAAAAATGCTGCCAAATTGAAATAACTATGAAATATGATCATTTTACTATAGTAACTAAGCTTAAAAAAAGGATCTAAAACTTGAGATGAGTGAATGTACTATCCATCATAAACTTAATAATCTTAATTTTGTTGCTGTTCATCCTCGGAGAAGTTTCTCTTTTGATCCAACAAGTGAAAGATAATTAATTAAAATGAGCTCATGATCACATGCAATACAACTAACAAAAAGTGTTTTTTTCTAATGAAACAACAATTTAGATATTTTATACTATCATTCTTATATAATCACATAATACTCAATCTAATGTACTGATAGTAAAAATCTATTTAAAGTGCATTTTTGGATAGCAATCAGTATTAAGAAAAAATTTGAAATAAATATATTCATTCAAAATTTAGATTACTATTTGTATTATAAAATACTAAATGATTACTTATATAATAATATAAATGTGATGCATAATTATTGCTAGATCTTTTAACAAATTAATAACTCAAAGCACATGTTTAATAATGTGCAAAATAACTTGATAGCTTATCTTTTGTAACATATTCTTACTTGATTTTTTTATAATTCAAATTTCAACTCTATTTCAAATGTTTGTACTATTTTGAAAAAAAAGATTGAAAGATTAAAAGTATAATAACATCCAAAAACCAATTTCTCAAAATATATTTTTGAATATAATTAGAAAGGAATAAATTGATCTAATAATTAATAATATTAAAAGCATGCAAAATTAAATTATAGTATGTATTGAAATAGAATAAAAGTATATCAAGTATTAGTTCATTAATAAAGTTCTATTAATCTATTTTTTTGCTTTTATATTTTGAAAATATTTGATTTTCTTATGTGATATTTTACATGATGTCAAAAAGATTATTTATTATTACTTTTACTGATAATTATATAAATCTATATAATATACTAGTAGAATAAATATATTAAGTATTATATATTATATTTATTCTATTTATATACTATAATTTTTGAATAAATTCTAGATATTGTATATAATACTAAATAGTATTAATATACTAACATGATATTATTAAAAAAATTAAGTTAAGTCAATACAAAAGATGCAATTATTATAACTTATTTCTTTTTGCAAGATTGGTTTTTAATTATACATTCTGATTGGCTTTATAAAATAGTACTATGATATATTAATACAAGATTCCTAATTTAATAGTAGTGAGAACTTGAAATATAATCATAAAATTTTAGTGTCTGTTACTCTAATCTATATTCTTAATAAATAAAAACATAATACTATAATGCATATTGTATGTAATAAGATATAAAATATATTCTGATTTATCTTTTTAAAAACTCTACTCGTTGTATTGTTCAACAAATAATCTTTTATCTTCTCGATAAGTAAAAAATTATTTTTCTGTTAATAACTCTTTCAAATAATTCTTTATAAATATTAATTCGATAATAAGTCTCTTTCACACCTGTTCTATATCTCTATAATTAAATACTTTTTCTAGTTTTCAGTTCTTACAGTTGTTCTTATATTTTGTATATTCTTTGTGAGTACCAAAATAACATGTGATGCTTTTTTTACAATGTATAATACTTTTTTATTTTTTCAAAAATCCTCAACTTCGAATTTGAAATTGTAATAATGACTTTTTTCAAAATATGATGCTTATCAAACACATGTAAAAAATATTTATAATATTTGAATTCTTTTTGCTAAAATGTGAGATAAGTTCTTTGTCTTATTTATTACAAGAATATTGATACAACTACAATTTCTCATAATGTAAAGTCAGAAATTTTTTTATTGAATAAGATGAATTATGTATTTTGTCAAAAATTCTAAGACTGAATTATTAATTTTGAATGTGTTCTATTTCAGTAGCTCTTTTACATTATTCATCTATATTTAATTTCTTTTGTTGTATTGAACAATATATTATCAGAAGAGATCAATATTTACTCTGATTTAATATATTTGTCTTCAATTTATTGTTATTATAAATCTTAGGCAAACTCTTGTGGATAATGAATATTTGATATATCAGTTAACGTCCAACCTAAAAATAAAAATGCGAAAAGTTCAGAAAACAGATGTCTAATCTAACTTGAATCACTAATTAAAAATGTTGGAGAGGCAGTTTATATATGATTTAATCTTAGTTCTAATCAAAGTTGTGTTTTCCGACAAATATATTCGGCTACTACATATATATTTTCAGATAGAAAGATGGCAAAAAAATTTCCAGATCCTGTGGTCTCCGGTCCTGATGCCGATCATCCGATATTCCAATTAAAATTATAATATATAATATTAAATAGAAATTCTGTTAGGTTTAGGTTTAGAGTTAGAGTTATAGTTATTGTATAGTAAAATTTTGCAAGGAACATTTTTTATTAAAGCACAAAAGATAGTTTCATAGACAAAGTTTTAAGATACAAGGTATTTTTGAATTTTTGCATTGCACGTTGATCTTGCGATTTGATTGGTGCATAATTTTAAGGGGTATATCGGATGGTCGGCATCGAGATCGAAGATCACGGGATCTGAAATTTTTTTTCTGGAATGTGTGCCAGGTTCGTGCCGCAGTCCAATAAGAATGCGATTTACTGGTAGCACAGACCAATAAGGATGTGCGAATTTTTGATCAGCCGGCAAAACAATCTGACGCAAAAAAATGAAAAATGCGAAAAATACGGGAAATGGATGTTCAAATATAACTTGGAGTACTAATAAAAAATGTCGGTGAGGCAATTTACATATAATCCTGATCTTCACTATAACTATATAACAACTTTTGGGTAATTTTATTGCTGCGGCACGAACCTGGCACACATTCCAGATGCGCTATATTTTTTCAGAGTGACGCTACATTTGAAAGATTTTATATTTCATAAACTTTAAACCAAAAAATTTACTTTTCAACTCATACACATATCTTCAGTTTTCAATAGTTGCGGATTTTTCTCGTATTCAGTTGGCTGTTATTCCCGAAAAGATCGATTTCTTTCACTTTATTTGATCTTTTTAAATCAAAAAAATTATTTGTTAATGGGATATATGTTGAAAGCATATATAGAATCTGTGCTCGGTTCCTGATCACATGCACATGACAAACCAATAAGGATGCGCAAATTTTGACGAAACAAATCCGACACAAAAATGAAAAGTGTGAAATGTGAAAAATACGGGAAACAGTTGTCTAAATCTAACTTGAAGCTTTAATAAAAAAATGTCGGTGAGGCAATTTTACATATAACCTTGTTCTCCACTCTAACCCTTATCCTAACACAAACGATAAAATTGACCTTTAATAGTTGCCGGCACACATATGATTTGCGCATTCTTATTAGTTTTTATCATGTGATCGCGCACAGATTATAATTATGCATGTTGAAGGCGCATTTATTTTTCAATATTTGTTGTTATGTTAATATTATAAAATAAATTCGATATTACAAATATTGAGAATTTATATGGTGTATATCGTTTAAAGTCATCAAACTTATTTTATAAAATGGATAAACTTCTTTGCTAAGAAGTAAATACAAAATTTAATCCGTAAATATGATATAATATGCTCTTTCTGAGCATATTCATGGATTAAATTTTGTATTTCTTCTTAGTAAAGATGTTTATCCATTTTATAAAATACAAACTTTTGATTATGCACCATATTTTATTAACAATAGTGTTGGTACTGAACTTACCTAAATTTTTTAGTCCACACAAAAATATTATTTGGTTCTCATTCTGACAAAACAAATCCAACACAAGTAAATAAAAAATGTGGAAATATGGAAAACAGATGTCAAAATCTAGTTTGGAGTAATAAAATGCCAGACAATTTCGTAACACTAGTTTTCCTTTTTGTATCTACTTTCACTTTTAGAATAAGAAAATCGCTTGACTTCTTTTGTAATTCTTTTACTATAGTCTTGACCTTTCTTTTTGGTCTTTCTTGATAGAACAGATGATCTCGCTTATTATGCTGCTGTTTTCTAACAAGTAATTTAGTTCAGAATTAAACTGATGCCAAAATATGACTTGAAGCACTAATAAAAAATGTCAGAAAGATAATTATACATATAATTTTATTCCAGTCCTAACCCTAACCTAAGTGATAAAATAATTTTGAATATTAATTTGAAACTAGTCATATGTGGGTGAATTATGCTGGAAAAGTTTATAAAGAAAAATTACTTTTTTACGTTTTTGATGAATCAAATTATATGGTGTTTTTGATCTACTGTATTCAAAATTCATATTAAAATTGTTCGCATTTCAACACATAATGTGAGATAGCCCAATAATAAATGTTTAATCGGCCTGGTAAAACAAATATGACGCAAGGAAATGAAAAACATGTGAAAATACGGAAAGCAAATACTAAATTTACTTGGTGTACTAATTAAAAATACTGGTGAGATAATTTTACATGTAATTTTATTTTTTTTAAATGCTGATCCTAACTCTAACCTTAAAATCAACCTTTAACATTAATCAACATTAAAAAATCAACTATAAGTGACTCTCGTTATAGTAAAATATTGTTATAGTAAAGATTAATTAAATACAAAACAGTCTATAATAAATCTTCTCGTTATACAAACTTAATAAACTCTCAATATAGTAAATATTTGAAAAATTTTCACTAATAGTCTGGATGTCTTTACTATAACAAGAGTCACTTGTACCCGAAAAATTTTGCACTAGTCAAATGTCAATTACAAGATCAGGGTTAGGGTTAGGATTATATATCAAGCTAATATGATCAGAATTAAAAACAGGAATAAAGAAGTATGATTAGAGAAAAATTGCATATTTCCACAATATTCGTCTTTTTCACTTTCTTGTATCGAACTAAGTATCAGTTACTTAAAAATTTTGTATGTTTGTAATAGGAGAAAATAAGTTTATAACACCATTAGCTTGTTTTTGTGATGATTTTTATTTAAATCTTAATATGTGCATTCTCTGTATATCACGAGATATCGCGTCCTGAAATTACTGGACCAAAAAATGATTTTGCTTAGTAATATAACATTTAGACTGCGTCTCAAATTGAAATTTCATAAACTGGTTTGATGACCCAACCCGGTTATGAAAACCAAAAAGCTTTGTTTTTGTGGCTTAATAAAATTCATGAAATTAGCATTTTTCGGTTTTTTAAATTGGTAAAAAAAACTTTGATATATTAAAATTACCAATTATTTATTAATCAAAAACAAATTTTTTATTTATGATTCTCATTTCTAATTAACAATGACGATCCAGCTAAAATTATTAATGTTGTTGCTACGTAATTGAAAGAGTTGTCAATTTTTGCTTCCAGTGAGCTTTCATGGCAATGGGAAAGTTCAATTTGATATTAATTTTACTTCCAATGGCTTTCCAATGAAGATCCGAGTCTTCCGAGTGCTTCCATTGACAACACTGCTAATTGATTTTCAGCTTGTGGCAGAATATTAAAAAAAACCAAATAAAACCTGACCTGTGTAAACTGAATTTTGTTCATCTCAATAATAAACCTCGATAAGCAAAATTTTTAAAATTTCTACGTATGAATGCTAGTGAAATTATTCACAGAGTATTGCTAGCGTTAGTGGGGTTAAGGGTTTTTGGGCGAAATCAAGAGTTTATGAAGAGAATTATGGAACTAATGATAAATTGTGTTGCACGTATCACCATAAGGACTGTACATGTATTAATAAAGAATGGAGATCAACGTTAAAATCAATTAAAGATGTTTTAACAATGCTAAGTGAAAATACCATTTCTTTTATTTAATACTATTATTTTTTTCTTTACATCCTCTTTATACTTTGTTTAATTATATCGATATCGATATTAATTTACATGTACTTGTCACTGTACGATCGTCAGGTGATGTTTTTACGATGGGATCACATATGACATCACCAGACATGTTACTATATGTATAAGTACTAAATTTATTATAAATACTCAAGCAGTTCTATATAAACATATTGCTATTTTTCTATATTTTTTATTTAATTAATTTTCAAAAGTTTAAACTGAAAAATCGGAATACATAAAAAATAAAATAAAATATTTATATGTTATATCTCAGGAACCAGTGATCTAATTCAAACCACCACCATTTGATATGACAAATCTAATGTTAGTAAATGTGTTCGAATCGGCACACTGGTCACGTAAAACGTTAAATTTATTAGAAATGAACCGGAATATATAAAAAATAAAGTTTTTACGCGATATCTCATGAATCAATCATCTGATCAAAACGAATTTAATACCATTCGGTACGTTATACTAAGACGAATCAAATGGTGATATTATTGTTTAAATTAGACCACTGGTTCCTGAGACATCATGTAAAAATTTTAGTTTTTATTTTTATATATTTTGAGTTTCTTCCGATTTTAAAATCAAGAGATAAAAATCCGTATTTCTACCAATTTTAAACCCGGAAAATAAAAAATAATCTTTTAAAATCGGAAGAAACCAAAAATTTTCCGGAAAAATGACGGATTTATTTTTTTGGTAAGTCTTGTTTTGATTAGTTTGCCCCTGTGCTGGTTAATTAAATAAAATTGTATAATTTATATAGACCACTTAATTTATAACATATGATAGAAGTTTTTATATCTAAAAAGTAACAACTGTATATAAAAATTGAAAACTTTACTAGGGAAGCTGATATTTGTTGTATTATAAAAAACAATTTACGTAATTGGAATACATGAAAGATAATTTTAGCCACTTGCTATTAGATAAAATACCAGAACATAAAGTAAATCTAAGAACTTAAAAGCAATGAAAAAAATTTAGTATCTTAACTAATACTGAAAAAATATTCATGAATCGAAAAAGATAATGTTCGTTACCATATCATTATCAATTAGCTTATTCTATGGTGTGTGGTATTAAACTAGGCTATCTTACTAAAAGAACCCGAAAAAGTGCGACATTTTGGGCATTTGCAATTTATTCCAAAGAAATAATACAAAGAAGCAGCCCGTTCTCTGCTACTTATCCTCGGATCATAATTTATGGTAATTGCTTCTCCTTTTTGAATAACTTTTTCAGAAATTAATTGATTACCGATCTCGCCGATCGTGCTAGCATTGGGATCACATTGATGATTGATAAGAGCTAATAAAGAAAATAAATATGCTTTGTCCGGTATGGCTCCATTTCTTTCACCAAATACATTCATTGACAGCATAAAGAGACAGCAATTGAATACCCAGAAATCGAATCGAAGATCGCCTATTGGAATTTCTAAAATTCTCATCACATCTTCGTAAAGATGCACAGATATTTTAGGAAATCGATGCTTCGTCTGTTGGCTGCTAGTCATATGTCTGATCTCTTTGATGTCCAATGGAGAGATATCGCGTTGTTTTGCAATAGCGAAGAGTTTGATGAGAAATAGATTGTTGAGTGATGCGGTTGATTTTCCCTTTTGAACAACAGTTAAAATACCAGTTATATCTTTTCCACAAAGTTGGTTATGAAATAGCTCAAGCGCTTGTTGGTAACAACGAATATTGCAATACACTTCTTTGCAACTTGAATTTGGGCATTTAAATTTGCTTTGTGTGGTGATTTTCGTGCTACAATTGTCACAACGCTCTACTATTCTGCTATAAACAGTGATAAACGGTGTTTCCTTGAATATAAGCTCGTGCGATGAAATTTTTTCTTGAGCTTCTATGCCATATTGTATTTCAATGGTATCAGAAACAGAGCTTTGTCCCAAGTTTACCTTGACCAATTTGACTTTTGAAGCTGAAATCTCTGAGATTCTATCCTTTAAGTATCGAAAATTCTCTTCAGAAAAACGATCTGTTTTTCTTGATTGCCAAGGATATTCGCCTTTGAATGAAGAAATTCCATAATGTTGAACAAAATCTTTAAAATCTCCTTCAGATACGTATTCATTATATCTCTTTTGACAATGTTGAAGTAATCTTTCCACTTCAATCCAATTGAAAGGTACATTTTTTGCAGTGAAGGAATTTTTTAGTTTCATTAACTCTTGACAGCTTTTAATGGCATCAATAAAAAGTTCGAGATCGGAATACGCTTGGGCATTACGAAGTAAGTTTTTAAAACCAACTTGCTTGAGCTTATTAATTGGTGAAATAGATTCATCTTTTTGAACAAGTTCAAGTTTTCTTAAACCTAAGACCGGATCAATCAGAATTATGCTTGCGCGATTTGTATCTACTAAAGCAAGTTCTGGATGCCCGAGTTTGAGATACGCCAATGATCGATTACTCCATAAAATTCCGTCATCAGGGTTAAGCGGAATTCCCTTATTGTATTCCTCAAGCGCGGTTTTAAAATCACCATTACTCATAGCCTCATTGCCTCGAAGTCGATGTTCGAGCGATGCTTTTTTTGACGCCTTTTTGATGAAAACAATAAAAAATTATAAATAAATTTTTTGATTGTATCTTTCTTTTGCATAATAAATACAATAAAGTTTTTATACCGAGTACATCATTATAAAAGCTTGATTGTAAAAAAGCTTAAGGTAACAAAAGCTTACAGCCTTATATATAGTATTAAAAATTTCTGCGGGATATATTGGGTTCGTTAGTATGATAAATGATGACCAACTGATCTTCCTGAAAGAGTAAGCTTACGCCATATAAAATGATTTATTCTAAATATAGTTTGTAAATATAATCATGTACCCCCTTCAAAAAAACTCTGCGCCCAACTCGTTAACATGAATGACACATTTCCGAATTAAAATACGTCATATTAGCTAAATTAGTACCCTAGCCATGGCGAAAAAAAAGTGAGTCTACACACATTCGGTACTGTACCGCCACAAATTTTGGTTCTATATTGTATTATTAACAGTGCATCTACAGATTCGGTACAGTATGGTACAAACATACTATATATCCTGAATCCATTCCTAATCCTTTTCCAAGGGTATACCATATTGAATCATCAGTACTGTATCATTACACATTTTAGATTATTCTGGTACAGTACAGTACCAAAATGTGTGGCGGCACAGTACCGAATCTCTATATACCGAAAAAAAGTGTCTGATCATGTGATATTTGTGTATGTCGGAAAAATTCTACGATAAAGAGGTTATTGTTAAAGGTTATGATTGTGGTTAGGGCTAGAGCTATAATTAAGATTATATGTAAAATTACCTTCCCGGGGTTTTTTTATTAATGTTCCAAGCTAGATTTTAGCATCTGTTTCCCGTATTTTTTACATTTTTTGCTTTTTTCATTTCTTGTGCCACCAGCAGATCAAAATTTACACATCCTTATTGGTTGCCACGTGATCCTAAACTTTTTTCGCTATGAAAAAGAATTACGTATTGATAATTTTAGCGATCTGTAGAACTAAACAACTTCACACAGAAAGAAAAAATCAATCAATACAACAAACCGTATGAGATCATTGGATATCGAAAGAAATTTATAAGTTAGAAACTAATAATACATGACAAACAATCTAAATAATTAAATATTAATGTCAACACACATTAATTTTTAAAAGAAAATTGATGAATACGAAGACAGGTAAGCATAAATATTATTAATTTATGAACAACATGTTAAACAATAAATTATTAATACATAAAATTTAGTCACAAATAAAATATCAGTCTAGTATATCCGACGAATCCTCGATCCGTACTAGAACTGGAACGGTCCAATCCCTATCAGAATAACAAAAAACCCGTTGGTCCTAATATTTATGCAATATTTAGTGATGTAGCATATTGGAACAATCTATGACGGCAACACAATGCGAAAATTTGTGAAGTTGATTCGGAGGCAGAAAAATATCAATAAATATATTATGCCAGATAATTTTTTGTGTTAGAAGTGGTATTTTACTGTGTCGCTTAAGTATGATCCCCTATCGGCCTGACAAGGTTTGAGAGATACGGTATAAAGCTCCATAAATGTTATTTTATTTATAAGTTTGCATTTCTAGAATCACGTATTTATATATAAAGCATAATAGAGCTTAATACTAAAATAATATAAGTGAATTTATAATTAATACATTTATATTAGATACGTATGTTCTCTCTTTCTCTATACAAATTCTCTGGAAATGTAAATAAGAAAAGATCAGAAAATTATCCAGATTCTTTTAAGAAAAAATTGAAAACCTGTTCTTTCCCTGAAAGTATATGTTCCTGAGCAGTTATTTTTTCTTTTTGTTTTTTATATAAATTTCTGATTTAGTTTCAAATTTTTGAGCTGAATGGATTTCAACAGATTTCCGGATTTTCCTGCTATATTTTGACTAGTTGTATATTCTAAAGCATTTTTATATTTAACCTGACCTGATAAAAACTGAAATAATTAAATATACTGAATTATTATCGGATTTATTTCAGATTATTCATAGTGCTTCAATCCGTGACCCGACCCGAAATATTTCGGATCAGACTAAAATCATTGTTTCTCGTTGAGTATTAATTCAAATTGAATGCAGATTTATAGATATACACGCAATTACATTCCGAACAAGTTATTGACGAAAAACTATTTTACGATTTCGGATCAAACCCGACCCGAACCGATCCAAATTTATCGGATCGAGTTGACCTCAAATCCAACCCAACCAGACCCGAACAAAGCTTTAATTATTCAGGAAATATTTAATTTAATCTAAGCTTGATAAAAGCTGATTAATGTTTTCTGAACTCTAAAAGATTCTAAAAATTTCCGGGAAAAATCTGTAATTTTTTCTGACAGAAATAGAATGTATATATATTAATTATTATTATTAAAGTTAGAGGTTTGAACCAGATTTTTTAAATTCAGATTTATCATGGTCTCAATTTTAAATTGGTTTTATTATATCTGGTTAAACATGACCTAGAATCAACTCATTTATTTATTAAACAAACCAATTCTATTTCTATCACTATTTATTAATAAGAAATCAATAAATCTACAAAAATGTAAAGCAAAGAAAATATTCATTCAAAAGGTGAAACCGTGGAAATATATGCTATTACATTTAAAAATAAATTAATATTTATTAAATATGGAGCCAATCTTGTTCTTATTGCTGAAATATGATTACCAGTATCCGAAAAGAGTTGTTCACTTGGAATTGATGTAGCGGAAATTGAGAGATATTTATAGCCAATTGTAATAAAATAGGAAATCTTGCTTTATATTCTCATCATCATACTAATAGATCAATTTATTTTGTTCTTCAGGATACATAAATAACATCTTCAGTTTTTCTTAAATTTTCTGATCGATTATTGATCTACATTTTTGTAAATACATGTATATCTTCCTCTTCATTAGATAAACTCATTGTAGTCGATATTGTTTCTTCAACTAATTCTGGAAATATATCTTTTAAGCTGAAAATATAAATTCTTTCAAAGAGATTTGGCTTGAGTTGCTGTTGTATACAGTATGATCCATTTACATAAAACCTCTCTAAGTGCACCCTCTATAAATGCAGCACTATATAAATTCTCTTTAAATGCACGGTAAGGTTTGGTTCCAAGTTATAAGACACATATGTATTTTACTCTCTATAAATGCACACCCTCTCTAAGTGCACACGCTGTCTGTTTTTTACTAATTAGTACTTTATACTGGAAAAATTGAATCTCAGTAATATTAATTGTATAATAAACAGAATAGCAAAATTTCGTAAGAACCATTTTTGTTAGAATACAAAAACAGTTTTATAGACAAAATTTCGTACGCGTGCTTTGAATTTTGGATTATAAATTTGATCTTGCAGTTTGATTGGCCAATTACTTAGTCACAGTGTTGATTAGTACATCTTTGTAGTTATTAACCTAGCTTATAACGATATAAGCTATATTAGGGTTAATTGGCCCAGAACCGACGGTCCTGTTAAATTCATGCAAATAAAATTTAACTTTCCTGCCTGTACTGTGCATAAAAATTGATTTTTATATAAAATTTCATGCCGTGCCTTGCTATGATAATTACATCTTTTATATCAAGCATTAGTTTTTATGAAACAATATTTTTTTTATATTGTGATGTAAATATAAAATTTTTTCATAAAAACTATAATACATGCAATCAAATCTGAAACTCTACAATCAATCTGTTTAACAGGTATTTTTCAATTCGGTCCCCTTCGGTCTGAGGATCACAGTTCGGTCCGGTCTTTCCAAAGATCAATGATCTTTGGACCGAACCGGACTGGTTGGACTGATTAACAACTCAAGAGTGTTTACTGCGATATATTGTTAACGCTAAGTAGATTTACAATATACAATCGTCTTATATCGTCACCTCCCGTATAATCACTTCCCTCTAAAGTCATACTGTTCATGGGCCGCTCATTGAATAAAACTCTATATAAACACATGTCTCTATGGTCACACAATCGCGGGTCCCGAAGGGCGTGACTATAGGAGGACGATCGTAGATGCATTGACTCGATGAATATTTTCTTTCCAATTTTTGCTGGAAATTACACAAAGAATTATTAATACTTTTATTGGTTCTTTAGCAGCGGTTATTTTTACGTATATCATGACACACAATCAAAATGCTTGAGTTTGTCTTTGACTAATTTGCGTAAAATTGACTTTGCTGTCAATAATTGAAAGATTAGATTTAATTAAATTCAATATTTTTAAGAAATATTTGCATTAGACAATTTGATAAAGGAAAACTATGGATGAACAGAATCTAAATATTTATTTAGGTCTTGTTTAAAATAGTAAATTTACATGCCTCATTGCGTATTGTCTGCTCCGAGTTCCAATAGACCGAGTGCAGATTAGGGAGAGTGATATATTTGAACTTCTAGATATGCTGCTTGAAACTGTATTAATTTGCGCAAAGTTAGAACTGGCATTTGATTGCTGAGAATTCGTTTGCAAGAGAAATTGCTGTTACGTAGATGTCCCGCAGCTACTTGCATTCGTATTAATTTGTGAAGCCAGAACCAAGTTTTTTGGATGCTGAGAAGTTGGTTGCAAAGGAAATTGTTGTTGCATGCCACCGCTTATTGGCTGATCTGCGACAAAGTTTTCAAGGTATCTAGCGATTACAAATAATCTTTTAAAAAGAGCTCGAGCGCATTAAATTTATGTTCGACATACATCATAAATTCATTGTCGGATCCGGAAATATTTGTAGCTACCGAATTACTGTTTGTAGAAAGTGAAAACAACGGAATTGTTGGAAATATATCACAAAGTGTCAATGAGTATCATATGATAATATTTATCAAAAGAATGATACTCCAGGTAAAATTTTATTTTCATCATATTTCTCATAAACCATTTTTATCTATAGCGAAAAATCAATATTGAAATGCGAAATCGTTTCTCTTATTCTTTAATATTTCATATTTTCTTCTCAACTTTCATTTTCTATCGATTAGGGAATTTTGATAGCGTTATACTTATTGTTATCATTATTAAAATTGGTATTTTGTATTAAAGAAAAGTCATAAGTTCATAAAAATTTCATTTGTGTGTAACAGTGT